GATTTTGAGCTGCGCTATTCGACTTATCCACGCTTAAAAATTCCGCATGCTTTTCGAAAGGAGGTGGAATTTTAGTAACATTCCGAGGCTACAGAAAACCCTCCCCATACAAAGCATTCGAAATACATTTGTAAAAAACCTCACCTTTCAAGGAGGTATGGAAAGAAAGGCTATAAAGCAACTATCAAAAACATCATAAAACAACCTGATGTTTCAAATGGGACAACATAATCACCCATGATCTTGTTAAACCAAAAATCAAATTTATAAAGCTAGTGAGCGTGATAGGGCATGTTGCGATTCTCCGTACTAGACTGCAAAAAAAAACAATTATTTCGTTAGACAAGTTCTCGCATTCGATGCATCCCACACACGGCATCGTGCAACGGCCTCTCGAGTAGCAAAAAAAAAGCGGCCAGAAGCCTGTTTTTCTAGTTTTTTTTTCTAGCTGCACAAGGCTTGCTGATCCCGGCGCCCGGTCCAGTCCAACCGTCGGCCACAGTGACGACCCAGAAAAATCACAGGGGTCAGTCAGAGCCCACCGTACCTTCGCCCCTGAAAGCTTGGAATACCACATTCAATGAGTCCACCACCAGACAAATGGGTCGTGACGGCTAAAACGCTCCTCTCGGCAAAGCAACCGTTGCCCAGTTCGTGAATCCGAAGGGGCAATGTCGCTGTCAGCTCCACACGGAGTGGCCGGACCGCCGCGGCCCTGGTCACGGCCGCGGGGCCGCCCTCCTATGATGGTGGCGGGCTCAGTGGCCAGCGGACCGCGGCAGTCCCGGTCAGGGCCGCGGGGCCGCTCCCCTGTGGCGGTGGCGGGCTCAGTGGCCAGCGGACCGCGGCAGTTCCGGTCAGGGCCGCGGGGCCGCCCCCCTATGACGGTGGCGGGCTCAGTGGCCACCGGACCGCGGCAGTCCCGGTCAAGGCCGCAGCGCCGCCCCCCCCCCCCCCCCCCCCCCTGTGACGGCTGCCGACATTCTCAGCGGCATGTCCCTTGTTACTGTTAGCGGCATTTCCTTCGTTGTGCGTCTGACTGCACCAAGATCAACGATGTCGAAGCCCTGGACATAGTGTGATTTGAGACACGTTTTTTGCCTGATCGATTCGGCTATGATGGTGGTAGTGATCCTTCATTGTAGGTGCTATTATCCATCAACGTTACACTGCATACAACGCTTGGAGCATATCGCACTTGGATCATCCTGCCGGTGCACATTTCGACATTTTGAATTGACACTTCAACGTTTTTACAGCATGCTTGCAGCCTTATGTTCCACTCAGTACCTATAGGAAGATTTACAAGTGATTCTAGCCCACACGCTTCAGTAGCTTCCTCCTGCAGTTCCCTCATACGTTCAAAATGGCAATTCCACCTTGATCTGAGTTATAGCTGAATGACAACGTAGTCGACTTGGATTTCACCAGGAATTAGGCAGGGCTTGCTAACTGGTGTGAACTAGTCTCATGCCCCTGAGCATCTGTATAACAGTGAACCACGACACTTCTGATGTCGCATTGTAAGCGCATCCTGCAATATCCTGCGCCGGCCTGCCCCTGTACTTTCCTCTGTCTCGCTCGCTGCCTTTCTCTTATTCTTTTTTTTCCTTCTTTTTCACCTCACCACCCACTTCTGCCTTCCTACGTATCTACCTTTGACCGTCCTTGGTATGAGACACAGGACACTAGGACGCGTACCAAGTAGCTCATTCTATTTGTCATGTAGCATGCAACACAGTTCGCACCCCATTGCGCCATACTCTTATAGAAATGCTGTGGTATGCTGCCACCCTGCTCTCACCGCTTATTTCCCATGCCTAAAATACTGTAGTCTTATAGAAATGCCGTGGAATGCTGCCACACTGCTGTCACCGCTTATTTCCCATGCCTAAAATACTGTAGTCTTATAGAAATGCCGTGGAATGCTGCCACACTGCTGTCACCGCTTATTTCCCATGCCTAAAATACTGTAGCTCCGAATATCCGGCCCGGTCTAAGCCAGCCACGGCCAACTGCCTGCTAGCCAGCCGCAGCAAAACGGAAAATGAAGGCATGTCGTTGGTTGGTTGGCTCAATACTATCCTACGCGGTCGGCATGTGGACCGCTCACCAAGGCTGCCAGTGAGCCATCATCGCTCCACGTACGCACTGGAGTTCTGCATTTATCTGCCGCGCAGTGCAACTACAACGGTCAGTAATTCACAAGAGCTCCGGTGTCATCACTACACGTTGCCCAATCTCATGCTTTGCGAAAGAATGCTCTCATTTTACTAGCCAGGCATGTCCACTGACAGCGCGCAGGGCCCCAGTGTGATCTCTGTCTCTACGGCTTCACGTGCGGTTGGCATGGAGGCCAAACGAGTTTACGCGGCTAATCCATTTGCCTGTTGACTTCGCCGGTAAGCGCGGCACCGGTCCAGCCGGTTGTGCTGAGTCAAAGGTTGATATGGTGGGACGCTGCGCATTAGCCTCTGCACGCATGCAGCCGGATTTCCAAGGTGAATGATCGTTACTTTTAGCGGCTTGTACCAGCGCCGGAATTATCCACTGAAATCTGGCCAGCACCAATTAGAGTGGGTGAAAACTGAGTTATGCAAAGCGTGGCATGGCGGCGATTGCACACACTTACCACCGAAAGAAGCTTAATTTCATAGCATCTTCATCGAAAGATGCTTTCTCCAGCAGTGTAGCCACGTCAACTGTTTTCAGCGTTTTTCATCCAGCGGAATCGTGCAGGATTCGGACGACAATCGAAGTCTGGCGGGCGGAAGGAACGTGATTTTTTCAATGTCGCCAAGCAGATGAAACGCAACCTGGCCTCATTGGCCTATCATTGGCCTCTCTCCACGCTTGGTTTTGCGCAATTGATCTTAAAATAAACGCTGAGGAGGTCCAGTTGATGTTGTTTGGAAGCCCACAAAATCCGCGCGGTCCCGCGAATTTTACTATAAACTTTCGTGAGCGCGAGCTACGCCCCTGTCCGGGGGTGAACACTCCATGAAAAATATGCAATCCGTCTCTCAGCTGGATTCTCACGTTTCTTTTGTCACTGACCGGCGCCTTGGTGCTCTCTCTGGTCTATCACATCTGAGAAACCACTATCTCCCAAGTGTTGTCTCTACGCTGGTGAGCGCCTTGATCCTCTCGCAGATCCGATACTGCTTCCCGGTTTATGGGATTGAGACTCAAAACAATATGTCTAGGATAAAAATCATCAAATTTACCGAAAAGCAAACTTCGGAGCAAAAAGCTCGATCACCTTTCGGATCCGCTCTTTGCAGACGGCCTGGTCAAATGCTGCACGTTGACGCTTCTTCACAAAGTGCTTTGCTCCGGTGAGCCAGAAGCGCTGGCCTGTGAGTTCGGGAAGATATCTCAAGCCTGGGATCGTCGCACACGGCAGGATGAGGATCTGTTCGACCCTAGGTCACGCAATTAGATGGGAAGAACGCGGCTGTGTTGCCAAACTATCACCCAGTATAACTGCCTTCCACGTGGTATATAATGTTTCTGTATAGCCTGATACGACTCGCTCGTGCAGGTTTGGCCGTGCACTGAGGCGCCACCTACGGCTCTGACGCCCACCCTGACCACAGAAGGCGCCCACCCTGACAGAAGGCGCCCACACTGGGGCGCCCACCCTGACCACCCTGACTACTGCTTTGACGCCCGCCCTGACCGAAGAATTGTCAGAGCCGTGTATGCGTGCGGAAACGTGTGCATTGTGTACACGCTTATCATCTTTGTGCGTGTGTGTGGTTGCATTTGTAACCGTGAAATATTGTTTTAATGCTGTGACAGTGGGTTTGAAAAGCCCCGAGTCGATCGCTTATAGTTCAAATTCAGGTCGGTCTATTTGTCTAGCCGTCCGCTTTTCCGTGACAATTTGCACGCCAACTAGTGGCAACAAGGTAGCGATAAATCAAAATGCAACAGCAGATAAAGTGTGGTTACGTTATATTAGAGAACCTCGGTTAAAACGGAAATTTCTGCCATGAGGCACTGTGTTGAGACATACATTTTCTAAGCGTGGGCATTGATCCCATTTATGAACACTGGAATCTGATCCCTGAGCGCTGGACCTGGATTTCATGGATCCAGAATCTATTTGAAGAAATTGGACAATAAATATTCTGGGATTCATAATTCGTGTTTCTGGTGCTTTAGTTAGCATGCCGAAGGTCCGCACAATTTCCTGCGTATCGAGCAATAATACTGCGGTCCACCTACTTTCCCTGTTTTCATAATACCTTGTTTCCCTGCCTACCGGAAGTCTTCGCGAAACAATTTCAGGATCTGACCAAATCTGAACCATGAAATAATACGTACACATCCCAATCACAAACCACATTTTCCAAAACTATTGAATCCAGCCCGGATCGATCACTTATGGAATACATTTATTTCGTATTATCTCTACTCATCCGCTTTCACATCTCTGTATGTATGCTGACTAATTCAGCATAAAATATTTTGTAAAAGATAGACGACACGTTCACTTTAACAACTTGCTGATATCATGTTTGAGACAGTGCTGGGTAAGCCATAAGTTACAAGGGCTTTTTTGATACAATACAACCCACTGTGTGGTCGCATCCAGTCAGAGCAGAGCTTGACGTCTCTTTGGAGGTACGTACAGATTACAATGCTCTCATGTTCTGAGCACTCGCTTGTGGCGCTGAGGCAACGCACATCACCTGTTTTATTCTGTTCACTATTGTTGCGAATCGCTGTTGATCAGCAGTGAAGTCTGTGTCTGAAGGTGGAGTATGGATGTTGACGCTCGGTTCGTGGGTGAAGAGAGTGGGTGAAAAATACTAGAGCGCGGAACCCTGCATATCCAACTGGTGGTGACATCGTTGCAGCGAAGCGGTTTCTTAAGCGAGGCATTTCATAGCTGAGTCGCACTAGGCGACGCACACTGTACATCTGCCGGAAAGCTGTCATCGCCGCCGAGAAAAGCGAACTCACACCTTAAATCTCTCGTCGGTCCACAGAGCACAAGAAGGAGTGCTACGACCCACTGGTTGACAACTTTTACGCCATCGGCAAGGAATGGGGCCCCAAGAACGCCCGCTGCAAGCTGAGCAAGTGTGTGTTGGAGAAGGACACCCTCTACATCGACCGCATCTCGTAAGCACGAAGCTGGGCAGCAGCTCGCAGCTCGGAGTAGCTCGCGGTCGGACCGAGTTGAGTGGGTGGCTGCCACAGGTCCCACGCCACATATCCTCTACTCGATTCACCCGCAACCCAGAGGGCCGTGCCCACATCCACCTGCCACCCATTCCTAATCACCTGACCTCATCATTACGCATCCCCTTGGATTGTCCCAACACTTTAGTTCTAAAACATGGAAGAGTTTCAGGAGATTCAGGAGAGAGGGGGTGTGCATCCAGATTTGCTCTGCTGCGTATAACTGCAAAGGTAGTGCGAACAAAGCTAATTGTAAATTAAAGAATCCCAAGCAGTAACATTCTGCGGCATTTGTTGACACATCTAACCGACATTTGGTAGCGTGTTACCCATCCCTGTGTCCCGTACTCGTATTTACCCTAAAATATGTACCCCGCCCAAAGCGGCACGCGTTTTGAAAAGCCAAAGTCAACCCGTGCAATTTTGGCAAGAATATTATAAGAAAAGGCGGCAAATGCCGAACGCTACAAACTTCTGATGACCTATTGACTAGTTGTATCAATTACTAAATTTTATAACTGCATGACAGATACCTATATTTTATAGCAGAGCCAGATAGCGCAACGGCCTTACTGTAGGGGTGTAGTTGAATATATGGGCTTCAAGCTCCAGCATCCTTCAGTCACTCTCTTCTGCTGATTTCCTGACTTCGTCTGGCATCCCCGCGGCGCCTCGTGTTACTGGCGTCGTGTTAAAGACTAATTCTCGGCTCATGCCCAGCATGTGCCCAACATGCTCAGCAAGCTCATGGCTTCAGCTCATGGTTTTCACCTATGAGCTTACCCAGCTAACGGGTTGGGTAAACTCATGAATATCCATATGAAATGGACAGTGGGTTGGGTTCGGTACAGACTTGGGGAATTACAGGCCTGGGTACGGGTAGGAATAAGACATTTGCGAAATGTGGGGTAGATATTTCAAGAAATACCACACAGTGTTGCAGTATGCATTTTTTTTACGAGGCCTTAAAGGGCACCGTTTACAATGCTTAGCATAAACAATTAACGTTAGCTAGAAATTTTGGTTGTAAACTCTTTCAAAACTTAGCGTTGAAAGTGCTGGAGAATGTAAACCGGTGGTTGATGGGTGAATACAACCGATCGGTAATGGGTAACGGGTGGGTGTGGGTACAACCCCATGGGTAGCGGTTCAATTGCGTGAAAAATTGCAGCCGTAAAGGCTTTTAGCGTGCTGCAACGGTCAGCCGCGAATTAGCCTCGCGACCACCTTTGGAGGGGTCCCGCTAGAGCGTCCACACCTGCACTGATATATGGTCCCTGTGCAGGGCCGGCCGGGGTCCTGCTAGGGCGTCCACACCTGCACCGACATATGGTCCCTGTGCAGGGCCAGCCGGGGTCCCGCCAGAGCGTTCACAACTACACTGATATATGGTCCCTGTGCAGGGCCAGCCGGGGTCCCGCCGGGGCGTTCACAGCTACACTGATATATGGTCCCTATGCAGGGCCGGCAGGGGTCCCGCCAAATCGTCCACACCTACACCTGCATAGCGGCCTGGTCGCCATTCCATTATGACGAGGCTGGACGCGAAGGGGGGGGGGGGGGCTGCCGTTCAAATGCAAAGTCCCATATGTTCATTTCTGGCCTTTTTGCATGCTTTATGTCATCTGATTCGTCTTCTCATGCGGCGCTCGGATATTTAAGCTAATAATTGAAAATTTCCCAAACTTTTGGTTAAAATAAAGGCTGAAAGTCTATGAATATTTCAACTGATTGCTTGAATAATCGAAATCAGCACGAGTAGGTAAATCAGATGACACAAAAAACGCAAAATAGCCGAAAATTAAAATATGAGGTTTTACCTTTGCACGGCAGCGGGGGCGGAGGGCTGTAGAGGCACTGCTGCCGCCTCACTCATCAGACTGCAGCGGGGACTTAGTCACCAACCAATGTTGGTTGTCTCTGCCCACCTACCGAGCGCGACGCGTGGTCACATCTTGTTGCTTTGAGAGTTCGTGCTTTTTTCGATGACAGACGTGCATGCCGTGTTCCTCGCCCTTCGCGAAACTCGAATGTCACGCATGGCTGTTGGCACGTGCATTATAAAACTGCGTGTGAGTTTTGTGTCTTTTAGTGGACAAAGCCCGCCAAAAAGCCCTCACATCTATTTTAGGACTAGGAATAACACTCAGCTCCGAAAAGACACCTTTTACTCGAAATGACAAATATGCAGCCGAGACAACGTTTCTAGCTACGGGGCTCGAGACAATTTCAGTTGGTTTGTTTCCGTGCCCAGTCAAATGCTAGCCATGGTATTTTTACAAACATGGCGGCGCTCAGGTTTCCACAGCCACCATAACGCTACAGCTTCCTTGACCACGGAGGCAGAACTAGGGAAATATCTTGGGTAGAATATTGCAACGTAATAGCTGGGCGGCTAACGAAAAAGAAAGGTTAACTTGCTTGTTAAAAGGTTGACTTGCTCTACTTAACATAAGAGTGGTGTCCCTCATTTGAAGATATTACAGAAATCATGGAACATGATGAAGTAAGATCACTTTTAATTGTTGGTTTGCTATCAAGTGTTACAGACTGCTCTAGACAATACAGTTTCACTATTTGGTAAATATGTTGCTCAATACGTCCCGCTTTATTACGTCATGAAACGTCTCTATGACGTCAGAGACGCTGCCAGGCAGGCCGTGTCAGAATTGCCAGTGCAGCGGACTGGCTGACTCACTTATAGTACTTTGACTAGTCTAAAGATGACAGTGTTTGCTGACACGTTTTCGCTGAACCCGCATTTCGTTTTGCGCGTGTGGGTTGGCTACTCCTCGTGGTATTTTTGTATATTTGCCGTGATTTTATATTTTTTACTTGCATTCATGTACTCGATTAGGGTGCTGCTCTTGAGTTATTCGATTCTCAGTCAGATTCCCGTTTCAACTAGTGTCACCGCCCAAATTCCTGCATTATGCACCACAAAGCGCGATTCGTGCTCGAAACTAGCACTTAGCACGCAATCGGTTGAAAACCAGCCATGTCCACTGAAGGCACGCATTGTGCTGAAGCACGCCAGATACGGATGACTCGATGGTCACACGTTTACTGACCTTGAACACTACATGGCCGATGAGGTGGCATTATTCGTATAACATTTCTATGGCGTCAATCGTGCCTGGGTGACCTTGAACGAGTCAGTATGAAATAGTCTACGCAAGGTCGCAGGCGTCTAGCTAAAACACCTGGCGTTTTTAAGTCTTAAACAGAGCAAGGTTGTGAAGCGCATTAAAAGATCTTCAAAATGTCTATCTTAGCTCAAAATCTTGTACGCATATGGAATGCTCTCAGTAATCTTATCACATAGTTATGATATTTGACCTCAACAGGGTGCTCAACAGACGGTTACTGCAGAAGAATTCATTTCCTCACAAGCGTGCTATTTTGGAACTTAGGAACAGGACACAGTATTTAAATAAATAACCCATATCGATGTGATACGAGAAACATCAAAAATGCTATGACAAACCTTGAGTTTTAGCAAAAACACTGCCAGAAAGTTATCTGGGAATGAGGAGCAGCTCATGAGCTTAGTTCCCCAACTGTTGTCCACAGGTGTGACGACATACGCGAACTGGTTGACTTTGAGGAAATAAAGAAGCGTCACCTGTTCTGCCGGATCGCAGTCGGAGACAGGCGCAAGGAGTTCCCCGGCTGCTGCCAGCAGTTGGTCTGCGCCAAGCACGAAAATGGCAAGAGAATACGCGTGGAGAAGAGTGACCTACCCCTGCTCCCCAGCAAGGACACGTTTGTGTACGAGTAAGCGCTCTGTGAGCCGCCCCGGATCTCAGTCGACCACGATCATTTATATCCGCCCCGCCAAGATCACACCTGCCGATTGAGGCCTAATCCCTTGGATAGTACACCTTCCACCCTCTCCAGGCCTGACGACGAATGCGGAACGCGGGCGAGATGCGCTGCTGACGACATGCAACGCTGTCACGAACCCGGGGCTGGCATCACACTGATGCAGGTGCAAGTCGCTTTGTTCTGTTCATGACGCACCAAGCAGGCGCTCCTGTGGGACAATGTAACTGAGTGACTCTGTATTTATGCGCTTGAAATGGTTTGTACTTTTGTGCAAATAAACGACGACACTGGTCCACAAAATGTCTCAACAAGTATGCAGTGCTCCATATTTGGGGATGCTGTTATATTGCCGCTCCCGTTCCTGGTGTTACAACGCGAGGCATAGGAGAGTAAAGCTACATATACAATATAAAACCATCAACCAGACAGTGTTTACAAGGCGGTGTTTTCAAAGGACTGCACTGTGCCCCGAGACTGAGACACCATCTACGCACAGACGTCGTGCACTAAAGGGTGTGCCATTACCAAGGCACCATGCACATGAAGTTTACATTCAAGAGCAGCCCACCCCAATACTGATCAAAGCTTGCGTAACGAGATTAGACTCAGACTGTGAATGTTAAGCAAGCACTACCATGCCATTATTTTTGCAATGTCGTATTCCTTACCGGTTGCACACTTTCCGCTGGATTCGCATCAAGCATCAAGTCACGGGCATGACAAGTTTCAAATGCTGCACGTAGTGCCAGCAAAGCAAGCCTTAAACGAAATGAGTTAAGCACTTGCCTGGCGGGCGAGGGCTCCGCGACAAATGAAAACTGGACTTTTGTATTATTTCCGAGTTTTTTTTCTATGCCAGCCACATTGCAGGAAAGCCTAAAGATAAAATTTGTTGCGTCACTGCATTCATGTTTAAAGCATCCGATAACCTCAAATTGACCGTAAAAATGTATATTGGTCCATTGGTAAATTAGCAACAAGCAGTATACAGCAACAGGCAAAGTTAGAAAATAAAAATCGCGAGCAAACTTAAAACGTCAGCAAATTGTGGTTTAGCTCATCTATAAAAGCACTACCTAAAACATCGATGGTTTTATTAAACTTCGCTGGGGACTAAAGGGCAGCACGCTTAATATCGACCCTCACTTTTGGTGACGGCAAACTTTGGAACGTTAGTTGTTAAAGAGAACGTGCCTTAACTGGAAGTGCTATAACTTAGCTTGCCGAGTCGAGTTTCTTTGATTCACTCTCTTCATGCAACTCCATGGTTCCGTGGTTGTCTTCAGATGCCCTTTCGTGTGAACTGAAGACGGAGGCCTCGAACGCTCTTATCCTTCATGTTTTTAGTTCATCAGTTGCTTCTGCTTCGTACAAACCGGGGTCAATCTATAAGACGAATCCACCTCATGCAATTAAAAATGTCATCAGTACGTCGTTAAGTGCCGAATTCTAATGGCTGTGGCAGCCACTTTTCGATAAAGCATTCAGAGAAGCGCGCGAAAAGAGCCACCGCCTACTAGCAGTCTAGAATATTTATGGGTGAAATTTTGGTGCTTAAGCCTAGGAAGAGAGGCCCCGTACTTTAAGTGTTCCTTGATGTGATAGAAAATTAGATGTCATTGTTTGTTTTCACAGATGATAACGTTGCACAACTTAAAAAAGGATTTTTGAAAATATTTGAAAAAAATTTGATATTTGATATAAAATAATAGAAAATATTTGATTTCGGCACTTTTTCTTAACAACATTGATCGGCGATATTCGGCTATAAATATTTGCATAGTTTTAAGACATTTTTGTATATGGACGTATATGTTGAAACAACTGTAGCTGGCTGGCTATAAGCAATATTTTGCTTTTATGGGCCGGCATGATGCCAGATCTCTTCGTACCGAAACTTTTCCAAGCTTTTCAAAACGTTCGGGGGCCTTTCTTACGCAGACGCTACAAAACCAACTTCAGTATCGTGGCCGCGACCCCGTTCATAGATATGCAGCACTTGTTGGTCTTGCATACCTAAATAGGATGCACGGTGGATGCTGCTCGAGTTAAATGATTTTCAAAGCCCACACTGCTTCACACAGCACCGATGAAAATGACAATGGCTCGCCCGGTGTCCAACACCACCGACCAATCCAACATGGTTGCGATGCTTAGTATTCGCTTACAATTTGGATGAGCCAGAGGCATGGACTAAACAAAATTATTATTAAGATACTGGTTTTGTAAAATAAATTTGACCTTGGTTAGATATACGTGGCTGCGCTATTGAAAGTTCATGAAACAATATGGAAACAATCAGTTCTTTGGCAGGGTTTAGTATATACTTAATAAAATAGGCAATAGATAATAAAACAAAGATAGGTTGTTTAGCATATACTTAAGCTTCTACGAAATACCGGACGATTTAACAACAAACTTTCAGCCCCGTAATCCATCGTAAAACAGTTTTTATATAATTTTGTCTCTTGCAGAAGAACGCTGTTATGCCTTTAGAAACAAAATGGTGAAGTTCCATGATACTTGTAATAGACGATATAGCGCTTGTAATAGACATTACAGGTGTATTGATGGAGCATTGCACTCCTTGTGAGGGTTAGGGGAGGTGGAGTGAGGTTCGTCTCGGTTACTTTAATGTAAAGCGTGAATGCCCGAGAAGTAGTAAAAAGGCTATAACAGTAACACAAAATAGATTTGGAAAAGTGTGTCCTCGTCACTAGTGTATTTTACGACGCTACTCTTCTGGTCGCAGGGACTCAAGGACACCAGAGTTTTCCCAACATTTCTTATGTACCCTCTCGCGTCGTCTCCAACGTGGCAGAGGTCAGCATAACCAGAGAGGTGTTGCATCAAATGCTGCTGTCTCAGACATTTTGCTTCATGTGGAAGTTGACAAAATGAAGCGTAGCTGATGGATGTAGAATACTGTGATTTGGTATTCACCAATCAACGGGTCAATTTGAAGAGGCAGCTGAGTTCTTCTTCAGTGTCAAGTAAGGTGAAATCGACTGTAGACCACACGTGGTTACCCTACATGCGCTCCCAACCACGACAATGTGCCAATTGCACACCATAAGCGCTGTTTTCCAGGTAAAAGCAACTCTGTTATCCTATATGAGAATGACGGATGGATTGATGATGGTTGGGATTGCTGGTTAGGGGATAGGAGAGGTAGGATGATTGCAGTAGATATGATGATCATAGGGGACCCTGATAAAACCCTCTGACTGACATTTCACGCCACTGTCCTACGGGTCGGGCGCCGGTGACGGCTCCAATCGGTCCCTTGATCTTTGATTCCGAGCGGCCTTTCGGGCCTCCCTTTAGACCAGCTCAAACACGGGCCCTTGCGACTCGTGGCCACTTGCCGACACTGGACCCTCTGGTAGGCGATGTGGGCCGGTGGTCGACGCCCTATTGTTTCAGGGACCCCGACCAATGCAAATCGCGGGTCCGGCATCGCTCGCGCTTGATCAATGAACCCCCAGGGATTAAACTGAAACGGAGCCAACTGTTTTGGTGTTAGTGATCTCTTGCCGAAAAAGAGGCTCACACTGCCCCGGGAGTCCTTAAATCCATGCAAGAGGCCCTTTGACCTCCATTTGAGGTCACGGCCCTACAGGCAGGGGGGGGGGAGCGTCCGTAATGTGACCTGCGGTCAGTTCTCTGGGCCGTTCGGACCCTTCAGCCTTCCAATCGGGTCCTTGAAATTTGGCCCGAGGGACCCTTCGGCCTCTCTGTGGGCCTCCTCAAACAAAACCTCTGATCAATTACTGGCCATCTGCCGACTTATGACCCTCTCTATTCGCTACGAGCCCCTTACTGACACGAGAGTCCCGATCATTGTTTCAGGGAACCAAAGCAATGCAAATCGCGCGCCCCGGTCATACTCCTGCTTTGGAAGTGGGCCCCCAGGGTTGAGACCGACACGGAAACAGCTGCTCGGTGCGGTGATCCCTGGTCTACATAAAGCCCCTCATCGACTCAGGGGTCCGCGGTCGGCGTAAAGGGCCCCCTGACTATCATTTGAGGACCCGACCCCGCAGGCTGGGCCCCTGAATCAGACTTCAATAAGCCTCTCGTACCCTCCAGTCGGACCCTTGATCGTCGGTCCCGGCGGACCCTCCAGGCTCTCGTCATGTCTCTCCGAACACGGCCTCTGGTCGACACGAGCCCCTTGTCAACGAAGTGTTCCCTGGCAACCACTGTGGGCCCCTCACTGGCGAGGGGGGGGGCACCAGTATAAATCGTTGGCCCAACCTTTGTCCCTGCTTGGAAAATGGTAAAGCCGCCGTCCACGAGCGAGCCAGCCACACGCCGGATGCGCGTGACCTTATTTGTATTCGCCAACCGGCCTCACCCCTCATCGCTGACCTCGGTACCTCGGGCCAGCACGTCAACAGCGGTTAGGAGTGGCCGACGCAGCCAGCCGAAAAGGAGGGGCTGACGTTATCCCCTCCCGCATCCAATCCTCTTATCCTCTTTCTTGCTTTATCCTGAATCCTCGCGACGCCCCACTTGCACGCATGCATCCGGGGCAGGATGCATGCGTCAGCCACGAGTGGGCTGGGAGGCCCCTTGCGGGGGGGGGGGGGCCCAGACCAGGCGTCCGTCGCACATCCCACAGAGAGTCCCTTCGCGGGTTAAGGCTCGGCGGTTGGTCCCCTAGGGGCATGCAGTCCTGCCCTACCGTTTTCCATTTTCCTTCCCCCCACAGCCCTGAAATCATCACTTCTTGTCGAAAGGGCTCTAGTTCAAACAACCAGACCAAACCCCTCCCACGTCACTGTGTTGGTATAACCATTGCCAAGACATAACCATTCAGCACAACACGAATACCATGTAGTACGAATACGCTGCCTCTGAATAGCTCACCCTACTCGAAGCACCAAATATCGTTACACATCACGATCGTGCACGAGCTTGAAGTTTCCAAACGGGTGCACCTCAGCTTCGTCCCATTATCGAAAATATCTGCATGCCAGCGACCAAGCACAGATACATTGGTAGGAGTTCTTATTCATGGGTCGTCCCTCTTAGAGCGCGTACCAAAATTACTACCTCAGACTCTATCCCCTGGTCGGACCGCCCAAGCCGCCACGCCGTGTCTCCCGTCAAACCGCTGTCTGTATGTCTTAGCGCTGCGGGCAGACCGCTGCTGAGCCTGCCGAGACACTGCAGAGAGCAGGCGAAGCTTCTCGGGAATGAAATCATGCGAGAAGCGATTCTTAGGATTTGTCACTAGCTTTGCTACAGGGCTATGAGTATGCCACAGAAGGTAAATGAAAAAGGGACAGAAACGTGTTGGGTTTGATATCCCGCTGTTCAGCGAGAACGCAATGCCCGGTAAGAGCTGCTCGCAGACTAAACCATGACAGTCAGATGGGGTGCACAACCATCGGTTGACGTCAAGTGTTT